TCATATTACTGATGTATATACAACGGGTAAAGAAAAGAATCCCACCCTGTAAAATAATCACATTTTGTTGCTTTACAGACTGAAATGAAGACAGACACAATTTTTGTTTTATCCAGCTCTATTTACTCTGCAACTTATAACATCCAAGTGAAAGATATAATATCAACATGTCAGAAAAAAAATAAAAAGATTCAAAAACAGAATCACTGAGTTGGAAAAAAGATCACCCCTTCCTAAAAATGATGTGTAAACTCAATCAGGTGTAGCTAATCACCTTCTCAATGACACACAAAGCCACCTGACTTTAAACTGTGATCAGCTGTGATTGGTTCAGTGTAAAAAGAGCTTTCCTGGAGCATTTCTGTCCCTGGTAGTGCAACTGAAGCAAACAATCAACTATGGGTGGCAAGGCACTATCAATGGGATCTCCGGGATAAAGTTGGGGACAGGCAAAACTCAGGAGATGGATACAAAAAATGTCAAAGGCTTTATCATTGCCTAGAAGCAGAGTGAAGTGTATTAGTAAGAAGTGGAAGTATTTGGTACAACACAGACCCCCCCTTAATCAGGGCATCGCTCCAAACTGGATGAAAGAGCCAGGAGGAATCTGGTCAGAGAGGCTATCAAGAGGCCTCCAGCAACTACCCCAACTGCTTGAAGTTGAAGGAGATGCTCCAAGTGCTTGAGGTGGAAAGAGATACACTAACTGCCTAAGGTTGAAGGAGGTGCCCCAACTGCCCAAGGTTGAAAGAGATGCCGCAACTGCCCAAGGTTGAAGGAGATGCCCCAACTGCCCCAAGGTTGAAGGAGATGCCCAAGGTTGAAGGAGATGCCCCAACTGCCCAAGGTTGAAGGAGATGCCCCAACTGCCCAAGGTTGAAGGAGATGCCCCAACCAACTAATTGCCTAAGGTTGAAGGAGATGCCCCAACTGCCTAAAGTTGAAGGAGATGTCCCAACTGCCTAAGGTTGAAGGAGATACCCCAACTGCTTGAGGATGGAGGAGATACACTAATTGCGTAAGGTTGAAGGAGATGCACCAAATGCGATCAAAGGACATGCCCCAGCTGCTTGAGGTTGAAGGAGATGCACCAAATCAGATAATAGAACATTCCCAAAAGGTCTAAGGTTGAAGGAGATGCTCCAACTGCTTGAAGTTGAAGGAGATACACTAACTGCCTAAGGTTGAAAGAGATGCCCCAACTGCTTGAGGATGCAGGAGATACACTAATTGCTTGAGGTTGAAGGAGATGCACCAAATGCTTGAGGTTGCAGGAGATGCATCAAATGAGATCAAAGGACATGCCCCAGCTGCTTGAGGTTGAAGGAGATACTCTAACTGTCTAAGCTGGAAGGAGATGCCCAAACTGCCTAAGGCTGAAGGAAATATACTAACTGCTGAGGTCAAAGGGGGTGCCCCAGCTGCTTGAGGTTGAAGGAGATACAATAACTGCCTAAGATTGAAGGAGATTATTATTATTATTATTATTATTATTATACAGGATTTATATAGCGCCAACAGTTTGCTCAGCGCTGAGGAAATGCACCAATTGCTTGTGGTTGCAGGAGATGCACCAAATGAGATCAAAGGACATGCCCCAACTGCTTGAGGTTTAAGGAGATGCCCCAACTGCCTAAGGTTGAAGGAAATACACTAACTGCTGAGGTCAAAGGGGGTGCACCAAATGGGATCAAAGGACATGCCACAACTGCTTGAGGTTGAAGGAGATGCACCAAATGAGATAAAAGGACATTCCCAAAATGCCTAAGGTTGAAGGAGATGCCCCAACTGCTTGAGGTTGAAGGAGATGCCCCAACTGCTTGAGGTTGAAGGAGATACACTAACTGCCTAAGGTTGAAGGAGATACACCAAATGCTTGAGGTTGCAGGAGATGCACCAAATAAGATCAAAGGACATACCCCAGCTGCTTGAGGTTGAAGGAGATACACTAACTGCCTGAGGTTGAAGGAGATGCACCAACTGCTTGCAGTTGCAGGAGATGCATCAAATGAGATCAAAGGACATGCCCAACTGCTTGAGGTTGAAGGAAATGCTCCAACTGCCTAAGGTAGAAGGAAATATACTAACTGCTGAGGTAAAAGGGGGTGCACCAAAAGGGATCAAAGGACATGCCCCAGCTGCTTGAGGTTGAAGGAGATAAACCAAATGAGATAAAAGGACATTCCCAAAATGCCTAAGGTTGAAGGAGATGCACCAACTGCTTGAGGTTGAAGGAGATACACTAACTGCCTAAGGTTGAAGGAGATGCCCCAACTGCTTGAGGATGAAGGAGATGCACCAAATGCTTGAGATTGCAGGACATGCACCAAATGAGATCAAAGGACATGCCCCAGCTGCTTGAGGTTGAAGGAGATACACTAACTGCTGAGGTAAAAGGGGTGCACCAAATGGGATCAAAGGACATGCCACAACTGCTTGAGGTTGAAGGAGATACAGCAATTGCTTGAATATGAATTTGTGGAATATATATCCGAGACCTGGATGTTTGCATTGCCTTTACCAAGCTGTTTGTAAATACATCCAAAATTTCTGAAACTAAAATTTATTTAAAAAAAAAAAAAAAAAAAAAGTATAACTAAAACCAAGGACAAAAATGTAATATAATGCAGCTAAACCAGTCCTTCCATGTGGTGGCTGCATAACTTTTCCTTTTTCCGGTCCATTTTCTGAAAATACCAGTTGACCTTGCAGAGTCCTTGTAATTTCCTGTGAATTAAACTCAAAATTCCAAACCAAGATATCTTCTGTAGACTGTAAGTTTACTCCACGATGTAATAGAGATGAGATTATAGTCAAAACAAGATATTTTTTGTATCAGGTGATTTTGACGCGTTTCGCCCCACCCCAAATATCATCCCGCTCCCCACGGCTTCATCCTAGAGACTTGACCAAGAGGCCAGGCCTCGAACCGCATCATCTTGGAGACCAGAGACACTTACAGCCCGTCTGGTCACCTTCTGGATTGTTGGCATGTCACTTCCAGTGAGGTGGTTTCTGGTGATGGACCGCTCACAGCAGTGGTCTCCAAACTTCGGCCCGAGGGCAAGAGGAGGCCCTTTGCTTGCTTTTATCTGGCCCTTGGGGCACTGTTTCATCCACCGATACCAACAATAGACATGCACGGTTCATTTCGTTCCGAATCGCAGTTCGGACAAATTTTATCATTCTTTGGAGATTCGGATGTATCCAAATAATGAATTACAAAAATAACGAATATAAATGAATCCAAAATAATGAAACCTAAATTCAATTCGAAAACAAAATTTAATAAATATTAGAAAACAAATTTAAAGCGGAGCTCCGCCCAAAAGGGGAAGTTCCGCTTTAAGAACTGGTCCCCTGCTCCCCGTTATTTTTCACATTTTTTCTAATTCGGTTTGAAATCTATTCCATTTCAAAACGGCTTTTCGAATTTTGTTGAATCATTTTCTAATTCGGTTGAACCAATTTCAAATACAAACGGCTTTTTGAATTTGGCGAAACGTTTTCGAATTGAATTCGAATGAGAATTACCGAAACGAATTGAACAAATTTACCGAATCCAGCTGCACGAAATTTGTTAAGATTTCGAAACAAAACTAATTTTTTTGTTTTACACAGGTCTAACCAGTGTATAATTCCCCCCACTGACACTGATGAGGGGTCACAATTTCTCCCAATGGCACCAAAAATGGGGCCCAATGACACTGCTGATGGGGCACAATTCCTCTCACTGACACCAACGATGTGGCACGATTCCTCCCACTGACACCAATGGTGGGGCATAATTGCCCCTACTGACACAAATGATGGGATGCTATTCCTCCACATGACACCAATTATGGTACACAATTCCTCCCAAAGATGCCAAGGATGGGTCACAATTTCTCCCAATAACACCAACAATGGGGCCCAATGACACTAGTGATGGGGCACAATTCCTCTCACTGACACCAACGATGTGGCACAATTCCTCCCACTAACACAAATGATGAGGCACTATTCCTCCCACTAACACCAATGATGGGGCACTATTCCTCCCACTGAAACTAACGACGTGGCACAATTCCTCCCACTAACACCAAATATGGGGCATTGTTTTTGCTCCACTGACCTCGGGACCTTTTCTACTCTCAAAAGGTCACAGTCCGGCCCTCCTAAAATCTGAAGGACAGTAAACTGGCCCTCCCACTAATACCAATGATGGGGTACTATTGCCCCTACTGCCACCAATGATGGGGCACTATTCCTCCCACTGACACCAATGATGGAGCACTATTCCTCCCACTGACACCAATGATGGAGCACTGTTCCTCCCACTGACACCAATGATGGAGCACTGTTCCTCCCCACTGACACCAATGATGGAGCACTGTTCCTCCCACTGACACCAATGATGGGGCACTATTCCTACCACTGATAGCAATGATAGGGCACAATTCCTCCCACTGACACCAACGATGTTGTGGAACAATTCCTCCCAATAACACCAAAGATGGGGCATTGCTTTTGCTCCACTGACATCGGGACCTTTTCTACTCTCAAAAGGTCACAGTCCGGCCCTCCTAAAATCTGAAGGACAGTAAACTGGCCCTTTGTCTAGAAAGTTTGGAGACCTCCTGGGTTACAGCATTGGGTTTCCCCACTGGATTGTCCACCACCTGAATATTCCCGGTGAGTGCCTCCTACACGCCTGGCCAGCCTGCAGAGAGCTATCGCCTATACTATCTGGGCTCAACCGCACACCACGTGGTCACTAGATGAGCATGTAGGCTTCCTTAACAGGTCCATGTTGGACGTAGACCCATTGCTTTTAGAATTTGTTTGATTAATTGGACATCTTTTTATTCACCTGTCTTTAATTCACTTGGTTTGGATGTTTGGACTGGGGGTGACCGCCTATCGAATGGGAAAAAAATATATAAAATTCTGCATGCTTCCAATTATACTGCCAGTTAGCAGGTATGCTAATTGGGAAGTAGACTCTCTGACGAGTGGACCTTCTGGTGTTGAGTGAGGTAGGAACGGCGCGTAAAACATTTCCCACACTCTGAACAAGCATACGGGCGTTCGCCAGTGTGGGTTCGTTTATGGGTGTTCAGTCCCGTCTTGGTGGTAAAGGATTTTTCACATTCAGAACACCTATATGGTTTTTCTCCAGTGTGCGTCCTCTTGTGGGCCGTCAGTGCTCCCCGTTGGTTAAAACACTTCCCGCACTCAGAGCAAGAAAAAGGCCGCTCCCCCGTGTGGATTCGTTGGTGGATGACCAGTGCTGAGTTCAAGTGAAAGGATTTTCCACACCAAGAACACGAATATGGCTTTTCCACAAGATGGCTCCTCTGGTGAATGGTCAGTTCTCCTTTACAGGGAAAACACTTCCCGCAGTCAGAGCATGAAAAAGGCCATTCCCCGGTATCGGTCACTCGGTGCAGGATCAGCTCCGATTCGTAGAGAAAGGATTTGCCGCATTGAGAACATGAATAGGAGCGGTCGGCAAGATGAATTTTCTTGTGCATTTGAAGATGCAAGCTACTGGAGAAAACTCTTCCCGCACTCGGAGCAAGCAAAGGGCTTCTCCCCAGAACTAAGTTTTTGGTGAGCGACGATGTGCGTTCTACGGGAAGAACAATTGTGAGCGATCTGATGTTTTTTTAGACCGAACTTCTGGTTGAAGCCCCTCCCGCATTCCGAGCAGACGTAGGGCTTTTCCCCCGTGTGACTCCGAAGGTGGATAACCAGGCTGCTTTTCCAGATGAAATTCTTCCCGCAAGTAGGACACGAGTACGGTCTCTCCTTGGAGTGAGACCGCGAGTGGATCTTTAGCGTCGATCTCTCCATAAAACTCTTCCCGCAGTCCTTGCATGAAAACGGCCTGTCCTTGGAGTGAGTCCGCGAGTGACTCTTGAGGTTCCATCTCTCCGTAAAACACTTCCCACACTCCTTGCATGAAAATGGCTTTTCCCCAGTGTGGATTTTTTGGTGCCTTTTAAGCTTTGACCGTACCCGAAAAGTCATCTCGCATTCAGAGCATTGGTACAATTTTGGACTTGTCCATACCTGTTGATCTTTCTCCAGCTTCTCTGCTTTGCCTAAAATTGTTCCACCTTCCAAACGCGGCAGAGAATAAGGCCCTTTGTATTTTGGTTGGCGTTGAAGGACTTCAAAGCTGCTGGTGAAGGTGTTTTTGGACCCGTCATCACCGTAGATCTTTGTCTCTGTCCTCTCCGACGGTGGTTTCGATGGACCGGCTGGTTGAGTCTTTATTTCACTTTTTCCGTAGACTTCAACCGGGATCTCATTTTCTTCTATTGCTGTCCTGTCTCCATCATGAAAAGCCGAAGAATCAAGCTGTATATTTGGTCCTACAAGGCCAACTTTGACCTCTGGAAAAGAACTTTCTTTCAGTAAAGACATGCATTTTGCTTCCAGATTGTTTTTCTTTTTATTATGAGCAAACCACAAAAACCTCTCAACAGGGGCATTTCCATGGTGAGGAAGTTCCTCCTTCACTTTTGGCGATGGGTTTTGGGTCCTAGAAGACCAACAATCTCTATCCGCAAGATCTCCTTTGTGCTCCGATTCTTCCTTTACAATGACTTGTGTGTTCTCAGGCTCTGCATCAACACCCTCATCAAGCAGATTTCTTTCCTCAATGGAATCTGATCCCTTCTTTGTAGCATGGCCAGGCTGCACCATTTCAAGTCTTTCAGATAAATCTGTTAAATAGAAACACATTGAAGTTATCAGATTGCTTACGGTGTCTCCTCATTGGTAAAGGTGCTATGGCTTGCCTATATGATGGTACACTGTTCAAATGCCGGTTAAGCTTCTCTGTATGTAATGGAGCTTTCAATCAACTCAATGGGAAAAGGGGCAAAACTAAGGTCGTTCCCGGACTTTAAAAGGGGACACACACACACACACACACACACACACACACACACACACACACACACACACACACACACACACACACACACACACACACACACACACACACACACACACACACACACACACACACACACACACACACACACACACACACACACACACACACACACACACACACACACACACACACACACACACACACACACACACACGTCCACCTTGCCAGTGCCAAGAAAATCTCCCCCACACCATGCCGCCACCACCAGCCTGAACCATTGATACAAGGCAGGATGGAGATTTTTTTATTTATGTATTAATGTCATACATAACCATCCTCAACTTATATATAAAAGTACAAAATATAATAAATAGAATAAATACAAAACTAAACAAAGAAACTAAAAAAGTCCCAACAACCCCTGTGGGAGAAATAATAAACAAAGAACATAAAAGTCCATAACCTGAAAGGAAAAAAAACGGAACTTATATACAAT